TGTGCATGAACAATGAATCATGGAACACTTCATCTAGAACTAATGATGTAATGTATGGGGATTAACATAAGAATAAAAAAAAAAAGAAAAAAAAATCAAAATCCTACAATCAGAATATCACTCACACCCACCATACTGACTAATATGATCAATGATCTGTGCATGTTGGCAAAGCTGTGGAGAAACTGCAAGTCTCCCATGTTGGCGGTGGGAATGCAATTGTTCTAACAACTGTGGAAACAATTGTGTCACCATTTAAAAAATGGTGACACACATCTACAGTGACAGAATTCAGTAGAGTGATTAACTCTAGAAGGATGTGACTGGCAGAGGTCCCAAGAGAGGGAGGCTCGGAGGTGCTGGTAATCTTCCAGGTACTCATCTGGGTGGTGGCTATATGGTTGTATCACTTTGGGCGTATTTATTAAACTGGACCTTTATTATCTGTGCACTTGTCTTTATTATGTTATACTTCTACAACATCATATATACTTTCTTAAACAAAATGCTTAACAAAATCACCAGATAAATAAATAATTCTGGGCAGAACTCACCAGTTCGTTTCGTTCATCTCCAAGCAGGGTGTTCCTGTCTTCTAATTTTCTTATAGTGGCATTCAATTCCGCTATTCTCTTCTGATTTCTTCTCAAATCCTAGGCAGGAAAATTAAAATGGGTATTTCTTCAAGAACACTTTTCACGAAGTTTGGGAATTCTCATAAAAGTAAGAGGCTTGGTTCCTTTCATCTGGCTTATGAGGTGAGAGTAAAATGTTCTGTAATCAGAGAAGAGTAAATATTTACCCTCTTCTAACCCTTGATATTCACTGCTTGGGTTGAAGACCAGGCCTAGTTGAAACTGCAAATGAATTCCATGTGGCAGATACCCTCTGGAGCCCTGACTCCTGGCAGGGGGAGTGGTAGATGGTTGGATGAGCCTATCAGATCTGTGAGTTCTGAGACCAAGGTCATGTCGTGATTACATGAGGTTCAAGGAGCGTCTCTTAAGTCATGGCTGCACATTGCTTTCCACAGCTAAGACAGATGTCCTATCACACTTAGCCAAAGAATAGAAGATAGGGCAGGGCTTTGAAAATTCCTGCATACTCCTGGAGAAAAAGGTCAATGTGAGAAGGCTGGTGCATTACCTTCACGTATAAAACGCAGTAGATTATAAGATAGCCTTTGCTGGTACATTTTGCCCAGAGCTCCTGGCTTCCCCACTGTCATAATTGCCATGGATCACTTTACACATGGCTCTCATGGATTAATTCCATGCTCTAGCGTCCATAGGACCATCACAGACTTGCAATTCCATTATCATCTTACGTTTTTGATAGTGCTGCACTGTTGACAAAGCAGTTTCCCACACATTTTATCTCCAGATTCATAAAATCCTAGAGGATTTCTTCCTGAAGATTCAGGAAGGTCATAACTCGTTCGAGGTCTTGTGGCTACTATCAATAGATCAATAATTAATATTTATTGAATGCTAATTATGAACCGGACACTGTGCTCAACATTTTACAGACCATTTCTTCTAGACCTCCGACCAGCCTTACGGAGTCCCATTATTGCCTCTCTTTTACAGATGAGGAAACTGAGCAGGAAAATGATCTGCCTGAGGTCATGCAGTAAGTGGCAGATCCAGAATTTGAACTAAAGAGTCTGACCCTAGAGCCCATTCTCTTGACAGTTTTGCTGCACTGCAGGTAAATGTCAGGGACAGAACTGAAACTTAAATCTGCTAAATCCTGATTCCGCCACCTACTGGGATATTTATATCCTGAATACCAATTCATAAATTATTCATTACTTGGTTCTAAGTACTACTTTGGAACCTATCTCTGTTCCTAAATAATACATTTTCATCTTTTTAGCAGCTAAGTTATGAAAGCCAACGATACACAAGCTGATTTCTATGCCTGCAGTTCTGAAAATAATTTCTCCTATAAAATGATGAAAATCCAGAGTAATGAGTAGCAAGTTCGATCGGACTAGAAACTTTCAGATGATGATTTAAGCGGTTCAGTTTTTTATATAGTCATACATTTTGACCCCTCTAGATGACAACCGTCTTTGCCAATTTCCAACCCAACGGTTCACACAAGGGAAAATTACCAGTCTTGGCAAGAGGCAAAGTAGTTTCATCTACTTAATGACTCTTATAATAGGCTAAAGTTTGGATAGGTATCGCGTGGGTAGAAAAATTCTATGAAAGATTTAAAAAGACCTGTAATTCTCTTGTGATCTGCTAATGCAGGGCAGACCACTTTGGTGCCTGTGAGTTTAGAAAACCCTATTCCCAAGATACTAGCTGGTTTTATAGGAGGAGGTAGAATTGATTTCTTTGTAGTAAACAGGAAAAGAGCTTAAGTGAAAAGTACAACTTGGAAGCTAAATAAAAGATGACTCCTGAGTTCTTCGCTTCAGCTCGGACAGACTTACAGGACTGCCGCAGTGCTCGGAGCCGTCTCCCGCTCTTCCTGGAATCTCTCGTTTCGGACTGCTCATGTTACACTCAGCCTCCTTGACCAGAAAGAGCTGTTCGTCCAACGCCTCTTTCTGCAGCTGCAGTTTCTGGACGTAGCCAGTTTGGGTCTCCAGTTCCTTTTCCAGGGAGAAGATGATCCTGTCCTTGGCTTTAATCTCATCCATCTGAATTAAATGACACCCAGGACATTTTATTTAACAATGCTGTAAAAAAAAAATGCATTTTTACAATGGTAGGAGTTTAACTTCTTTCCGCTGATTGTTATGGGGAAAAATTATGACTGTGACAGGTATACTGAATTTATGAACAAGACAAGGCAACACTGTGTAATGAAAGGCTATCCTTGGATAATTAGGTATCAAGGAAAGTAACTTTTTCTCTCTGATATATCCTGGGTAGATGCTTTAGTTCAGTATATTGTTTAAAATAGTCTAGGTTGGTTGGATTTAGAGAGGTTAACTTTAAAATGGGTCATTGGTAAAAAAAATAATAATAAAATAAAATGGGTCATTTGTGTTAATAAAGACAGATACTCAGTATTCCATTACAGTGTTTCCCAGGACAATTTCTGATCTTCCCTCCTGTTTGGAGGAAGAGACTTTAGTTCACTTTAACTAGGAGGAGGCACTATGAATTGGTCATTTTTTGCTGATGAAGCTGCGGACTTTCCAGGAGCCTAGTCAGTTCCTAAGGCCAGTATGTTTGCATTCAGGTGGCGAATGTGGAGTGAATTCAGGTGTGAGTTTGGAGCATGGTTCACGTTATGTGGATCTTTCCATTCCTTTCCACATTTCAGAGCAAACAGCTAAGGCAACCATTTTACCATTACTGTCAGAAAACCAGGGTCGGGACAAGAAGAGGAATGGGAAACACCTGGTAATATTAGCCACTGTTTCCCCTCCTACATCTGTGGGACATATTTATGGATCCTAGCACTCACTTCTATTAAGTCTCAGCAGGGTCTCAGAATTATTTGTCAACTAAAGGCCATAAGCATTTGATATCAACTGATCAAGAGTTTCACTGGACTGAAAAATTTGTGCCATTCCTGGTGAGGGCTAGGGAAGTTAATGCCTGTAAACAATTTCTGAAGAGAGCATAACCATCAGGCAAAATCTTTCTTCTCATTTCATTATATTCCATAAGAATATTCAAAATGGAGATAGGATAGAGACATTTAATACAAATGATATTATACTGTTCTCTTTATAAAAATATCTCCTTATTTATAACAAATCACTTTGTGTAGATCATTCTTTGCTGTGTTCCACATATAAATCTGCCTATGTATATATTTGGAACAAAAAGTGATGCATGGTCCCATTTTTCCACATTTAAGTTTCTGCGAGCCAATGCCTCCCAGTCACAGGATTACATTTTAGATCAATTTTGGAAGGCCATGGGGCTAAATTCTGCATGGTCCTGTGATATTATCTGATAAGTTGGTGAGTAGTCAAACATTGTCCTGTTAATTCTGGAATAAAAGCACGGTCTTTAGTTTCTACCTTCTTCTAGAAGATTTGAATCCAGTGTTATTCTTAACTAGGTAGTATATTTATTTGTTAGATCTGTCATCTCCGATGTCATTTACAGTTTACCGTGGCTTCACACCTCTGTGCTCCTAGTTGGTTCTGATGTACCCTACCTAAATGAACTTGCTGGAAATTACTCCATTACTGCCCATATAGTCATCCTCATCATCGCCATCATCATAACTAAAATTTATTAATTTTTTACTACATGCAAGGCACTATCTTCAGAGCTTTACATATCTTACCTCCTTTTATAACAATCCTACTACACAAGTTCTGTTATCACCATTTTATAGATGATAACCAAGGACTTCTGACTCCAGAGCCCATTTTAATAGGCTATGCAATAATGATCCCCACATTATCCTTATACTTCCAGCACTTTCCAAGGTAGTTTTCTGTAGAATATCCAGTAATCAGTGTCGATGAGTCTCTATTGCATAGTGGTTGTAGGCATAGACCCTGGCTTCAGAATACTGAAAATCTTCCAAAGTTCTAGTTCTTAGATGGGAAGGGGTGCCTAACCAGAATTCCCTGGAGAAATTTTCTAAACAGAATGGCTCTCATTTCTCTCCCTTCCAGTTCCAAAAATGGAGCTGGGTGTGGGGGTAGTGACAGAACAAGATAAAACTGAAGACAAGGGCATCTGTACTACTGAAAAACTTCTCATGTTATTCTGTTTGCATCCAGTTTTTTAACCACTCTTGAGGTACCTTAGATTTTACATTGTTACTAAGAAAGACTGCATTGTCTTCTTGATCATTATGCTGGTAAAAGGAATTCACAGAAAGAAACTACAGATCAACAAGTGGATATACTTGCAGACTTTATATCGAAAACCATCAACAAACACAAATATTTGATGTACAACATCCTTTTCATTTACCCACCTGCTGACTCCAGAGTTCATAGTCCTGGTTCTTTCTTCATCAGCTGTTGTCTTTTCAAAAACCAAAGACAGGGCAGAGACCAATATTTCTGCACTGTGTTTGGTCTTTATTGTCAACCAGGGCAACAGAATGAATTGCAGACAAAGAATTTGGAAAGTGTGGCAAAGGCAACATTTTACAGTCACGCTGTATTGCAGTACAAAGAAAATTACACATTTAGTTTTTTAAAATGTTCTACGGTAACCACTTTTACTTAAAATCGAAATCCTAGAGATATGGTCCAAGGAACATAAATGGAGTTCTTACAAAATAATTGCTTAGAATTGGCAGACACAAAAGGAAAGTGTAGTTTTCCTAAGAAAATATTATTATTATTTTTAAGGATTTTATTTTTAAGTACTCTCTACCCCCCGGCATGGGGCTCGAACTCACAACCCTGAGGTCAAGAGTCGCATGCTCCACTGACTGAGCCAGCCAGGTGGCCAGAAAATATTATTGTTAGAGAAGCATAAAGTGCATTCTAACAGGTGAGGGGTAATTTGACAAGACAGAACTAAGATATAACTAATGCTAAACATTCTGAATATAGATGCATGTAAATGTTTCTTCTAAAATAATTAGACGTGGTCAACTTAGGACATTATGGCTTTTATGCAATAATTATATTTGTTTTGTTTTTAGGTATAGTGAGAGATCAATGTGGTTTTTGGTCATACGTATTAAAAAGAAAGATCCAACCCTATAGCTTGAAGTAAGTCTTGGAAATTGACAATAGCAAATAAACTACTTAGGAATAGTTTAAAAATTATAATGGCCACTGTTTTGAATGGCCCTTGTTTATTTTGAGAAAGAAGATCTATTTTAAAAATGACTAGGGTTCTTATAGCTCTATTCCTTGCTTTCAGACACAGTTCCTGGAAAGAAGACAGGTGAATCATTCAGGATGCTCTCAGTGGCTGCCATTTCAGATACCTTGAAAGCCAGAGAAACTTTCCCCATCCCTGTAAAAACCCAGTGACATTTTATAAATAGAAAGCCCACAAAACATGTTATTTTAGAAGAGTTCATAATTTAGAATATTTTTATAGACATTCAAGAAAACAGGAGTCATTGAATAGATACTCTCCATATATGTGAGGCTGGAAGAATCCAGTTTTTATGAGAAAGGTGATTCCAATATCTTCTACACTTTACAATTCCAATTTTGGCTTGGGTGTATCTATCTATTTATCTACCTACCTACCCATGGACCTATCTTGCATTTTGGACAGAGTGCTAGACAGGAGGTGAGCACTGTTTATAATCCACTCATGAGAAACACCTGTAGAAGCATACCCATGGCGCTCTAAAACCTGGAAAGAGAATGATTGTACACCGACGTACTGCCCTGGGTTACTAACCAGCCTCCGAATATCCCGTTCTGACTCCCACTTGATCTTCGAGATGGCTTCCTGGTGGGATTGATGCTCACTCCTAAGGTCCCCAGCCTTGATTTTATCCGCTTGGATCATATTGCTGAGAGCCTCGTCCACCTGCTTCTTGGCAGTTTTCAGGTCCGCAATTTCCTGTAAGAGCTTAAGGCGCTCTGCATCAAACAGTTTCCGGGCCTCCTCCCGGGCCTCAATGGTGAGCGCTGTCCTTACTTTGTCACTGCTGCCGTCCCGGAGAGCACACAGAGCCGACTTGAGCCTCTGGATCTCTCCATCCCGCAGCTTCACCGTCCTTGACATTTCTTGCTCGTGCTGTTTGATGAGATTCTCCCTCACGGCCTGCAGCTCCTTCATCTTCTCCTCATGGAGCTTGGCTTTGAGTTCTGTCACCAGGACCGTGTGCTTGCGCTGCTCCAGCTCACGAATCCTCTTTGCTTCTTGAGTCTTCTCTCTTTCAAGCTTAGACACCTACAGGCAGAGAGGCGAAAGGACGAAACGAGGTGAGCCTCAAAGGAAAGGTGCTCCCAAGCAGGGTCTGTAGCTCAGAGCCCTGGGCTCTCCCAATTCCTCACCTCCCTGTGCTCTGAGGGGACGGAACCACAGGCCCCAAAGCTGGGAATATAGTGTGGGAAAGGAGGAGATACCTGGGGATGCTTGTATTATTTGGTGCAGACAGAATCTGATGTTTGGGGGCCTTACTATTCCATCGGTGGTCTGCAGACAACCAACACAGGAATCGCCCAGAAGCTTGTCAGAAATGCAGAATCCAGGGCTCCTTTCCAGACCTATAATCAGGACGTGCATTTTAACAAGTCCCCAGGTGATTGTATGCACAATAAAATTAGGACATAGTGCTATAACGGTTTTCACCTTGGTGGGGAGAAGTCCAAAACAGATCACCTGCAGAGCTTTTTAGACCACATATCCCTGGCTAGGTGCAAGCTGATAAACGTGGGTGTCTTAGGACCGTTCAGAGTTGAATATTATGATCAGACTAATAAAATGGTGCCCAAAGTGATATTATAAAATATTTCTCCTGTTTCCCCCTTCTTTTTTGGCTGCTGTAATGGGGGAAATGAAGCCAGCTGATATATCCTCAACCTCACCTTTTTTTCCTATGGCAACTTAGTTCTACCTCCAAACATTATGCAGACACACACACACCAGCCCCAAACACTGCAGTTCACTGGGCCATCTCTCTGTTCGAGGGGTCTGGTGGCTGTTACTTCTGCATGCTCCACGGATGTCCCTTTGTGTCCTTCCCTGCCCCACTCACCAACCTCTCCCGCTACCCCCACCAACTAACCCTCCAAGCAGTTTAATAAAGTATTCCTTCTAACCCTTAGACCTTTCTGGTATTTTGGTTAAACAAAATCTCCTGTGTTTTGCTTTATTTCTGATGATAATATGGGTCTCCTTAGAGATTAGCCATGGCACTACCTTAATCTGGTTGTGAGTCTGGCTCTGATTCAGTAGATCAGGGTGGGGCCCTGGCATGTGTAGCTTGGAGAAGCCTCTTAGCAAATGGTCTTTACTACTGTCCTCCTCCCCGCTCCTCGTCTCAGCTGCCTGTCTTTGTTTCTCTGCCTCTGTCATGTACCGTAGAATCACACACTCACTCACTCTCTCTCTCTCTCTCTCACACACACACACACACACAGTCACCTGGAAAAAGGGAGGAATTAGGCAACCCCGGGAGTAATATTCGGTTCAGTGAAACTGGGTCTCTGCCATTTGTAAAATCGGAAAGCTTCATGAAATAATTGTGAGGAGCATCTCTGGCTGAAAAATGTTAAGAGGCTCTTGTAATTATCATGTAAAGTGTGTGAGATTCTACTTACCTTAACAGTACCTACCTTTGGCTAGAACAGGATTTTCTAAGTCCTCATGGCAATTTAATGAATATTTTATTTTAAAGGCACAGCAATTATTACCGCGTTGGTTATTCTTTTTTTTTTTTTAAAGATTTTATTTATTTATTTGAGAAAGAGGATGAGAGACAGCACAAGAGGGAAGAGGGTCAGAGGGAGAAGCAGACCCCCCGCTGAGCAGGGAGCCCGATGCGGGACTCGATCCCGGGACTCCAGGATCATGACCTGAGCCGAAGGCAGTCGCTTAACCAACTGAGCCACCCAGGCGCCCACTGCGTTGGTTATTCTAAAAGAACTTAGGGCACAAGGAGACTTGGGAGAATAAATGGGTATCCTTAAATGACGGTCTTTGATCTTGCCTCCAGCTTCGGCCAGGGTCCCTTCCTGGATGCTTATTATTGCATATGCTCTAGAGCTGTGCTGTCCAATACGGTGGCCACTTGCTACAATGAGCATTTGGAATATCCCAAGTCTGAACTGAGAATTGCTCTAAATGAAAATACACACCAGATTTTGAGGTCTTAGTGTAAGGTAAAGAATGTAAAAACCTCAGCAATAATTTTTATACTGATCCCGAGATCACTATCTGAGCTGAAACCAAGAGTCAAATGCTTAACCAACAGTACCACCCAGGTGCTCCAGTAAAGCCCAGTTCTGATCCAATTTATGTACTTGCTCAAAAATCACCCAGGGCTCCTTTATGTTGTGGAGTAAAACCCCAACACCTCAGCTTCGCCTTTCCGGCTCTCAGAAGATTTGGTTGGACTCCCAGCTCCCATTTCTGTTTCTCCCTGTACCTCTCCTCACCTGTCCTGCACTGCAGGCCCCGGGGCTTATGCTTTTCCCTGGCTTATGCTTTTCCCTGCACACGCCCTGAATCTCTGTACCTGTATGCCTACGGTTTCCTCTTCCTGACCTGCCCTTCCCTCAGCTTCCTTTGGGATCCTCTCATCCCTCATGACCAGCTAGATGTCGCCCTCTCCACTCATGCCACCCCTGACCACCAAATGAGGACAAACCTCATTTCTCCTGCCTATGTCTTTTCAGGGCACTTTGCTAAAACCTCCTTACTGCTCCTTTCCACATTTTTCTTTATGCCATGCTTATGGTTTTTTGTATGCTTGTCTGTCCTCATCACCTCTTCTCCTGCTCCTACTCCACACTGCAAACTGCTAGAGAGCTGCCGATGAGCCTTGTTCATCTTTGTCTACCCAGTAGTTGCCAGCACAGCACATGATAAGGAGCCCGAGAGTGTGTGTGCAATTAAAGAAGGTATGCCAGTATGTTTCCCTAGCTAGCCCTCTAACCAGAGGCAAGACTAATATATCCTGTCATATAGCTTAGAGAACACAGATCTGTAGGGTTTTCTAGAGCAACCCCTTTTCCTAGAGCATCCATCCCTTCCCAGGGTACACGATGCACATATAAGAATGCCTGTCCTCTACTCGATATTTCTCTCAGTGCTTCCGTAAGGACAACATAAATCTTACTCCCCATTTTTCTAGATTAAACTCTAGTGAGTATCTTCTACCATGGGTGGGCAAACCATAACCCATGGAACAAATACTTTCCCGCCTCCATTTTTGTGAATAAAGTTTTATTGGAACACAGCCATGCTCTTCTATTTACATATTGCCTACAGCTGCTTTTATGCAACAATGGAGTTAAGCAGTCTCAGAGAGACTGGCCCACAAAGACAAAAATATGCACTATTTTGCCCTCTACAGAAAAAGTTTGCTGATTTCTCTTCTAATAATACAGTTTTTGTGAAAAAAGAGGCCTTATTTTTCACTGATTTAGGAACTCTGATAATTTACTTTGCATCCACACCTTGGGAAAGTTAACTCTAACTCAAGTAATAGGAAATTAGCCATCATCAATTTCAGCAGCATGTATTTACATTAGGCATTTGCAACAGTATCATGACTATAGGGCTGTCAGGTAGCAAATTACTAAGGGAAATTTTATCAGTTCTGGGAACGATAAAAAACTGGTAAAAATGGACAACAGATAAGGAATTCTGGGTTTACATTTTGATTTCACAGTCTGCTATATCTAAGAAAGTTGCTTTATCCTTCTGAGGCTCTTTGATTACACTTAAAAACTACCCATAATGGGATTATTCTTAGGGTTAAATTAGCTAATGCATGGAAAAGAACCTTGAGCTGTAAAGTACTATGAAATGCAAGGTAATATTATTACTGGATATAAGAGGAGATATTCATGACCCGAAATTATTTATGTCAAATTCTTGACAGGCACGTTAGACTGTTTCACTCTGTGATCCTGTCATTTCTCTCAAATTATAAGCACTGATCTTTTGCATGTACACTGGAGATGAATGAAAAAGAAAAAAAATGAAAATACAGGTGTATGGAAAATATATCCCAGCCTGAAGATAAAAACAAATACAAACACTGGCCTTCTTGTCCATCACTTAAAGGAATCCACAGAACCCAAAGAAAATTCAAAGGCACTGACTGATTACATTTGGCATTTTTCAGGTCTGCTTTTTTTGGTTGCCATGGAAACTGGCATTTTTGCAGGATTTCTAGGTATGACTTCTTTTTTTAAGCTTGGGAGAAGTGTTTCACTACAAAGGAGACACAAAGGATGTGACTGACATTTGGGAAGGAAAAAAGCCAATTAAAATTTTTGTAGTAAAACTGTTTTCTGAAAATTATTTGCAGCTCAGATTATACCAGTAAGAAAATAGAATTTACTATCTTAATGTAAATCATACACAAAAATAGAAAGAACTGCTCCTGACTAACAATGAAAAATATAAAGATAATACCTGAAGTGGAAAAAAATACTTAGTAGAAGAAAGAATCAATTTTGATAAATGGAAATGTTTCTCTGAAACATTTCTGCTGGATCACATAATAGCGTTTATTGAGGGCTTACTGTGAGTTACGCAGCTTCCTAATGGCTTCACAAACATCACCGCATTTACCCTTGGCAGCTCTGTGATGTAGGTAGTATCTGTGCATCCGAATCTCAGATGAGAAAGGTGAGGACAAGTCTCTGCCCAAGCACAGCGTGAAGAAGGCTGCTTAGCGCCCAGCATGGGCCAGGAGCCGAGTTTGGGTCAGGTCCCAGGCCTCCCTGTGCACTTTTTAAAAAAATTTGTTAATTATTTTATTTTAATTAATTTATTTATTTATTTATTTTGGGGGGGAGAGAGAGCGCGCGAGCACGCACACTAGCTGGGGGAGGGGCAGAGGGAAAGGGAGAAGCAGACTCCCTGTTGAGTGCGGAGCCCGACTCGGAGCTCTTGAGGTGCTCGATCTCACACCCTGAGATCATGACCTGACCCAAAACCAAGAGTCGGGCTCAACCAGCTGAGCCACCCAGGTGCCCCCTCCCTGTTCATTCTGAAACCTCTGGCAAGCTGTTCACGTCCCCCAGCCTCCATTTTCTTATGTGTAAACTGGGATTGGGGGTCTCATTGTCATATGGTCATGGTGAGGGCTGACTTAGATAATGTATCAAAAGTCCTTCGGAAAGGCTGGAACACCTAGGAGATTAATAATTATTAATACATGGTTAAATAGTACAGTATCAATTTTGATGAATATTGACAACATATTGATA